GTCTTTAGAAATCTATGCTTTGGGGTCTTGAATTAAACCCATTCCTTCTCCCTAAAAAAACCCTTAAAATTAATAATAGGGAATGTTTTGACAGTCCACATCTACAAGAGCATTTTTTGTGTAAGAGCATTTAATCTTATCTGAAACTCATATGTACATAGCTGAATTGGACATCATATAAGAAAAATACATTTTGAATTTCTCTTACAGTATTTTGGCCCTCTATCTTCTGTCTTTAGAAAGGACACAGGAGCAAAATGTTTCTCCTGCCTTAACTCACAGCCTTAAAAATACCCATTGATTTCTTTTAGCCGAAATGGAAAAATACCATTTTTTATATGTAAAAATATTTTTTCTTTAAAAACCTCACTTCTCCAAATTCTACTGACGACTAGTTTTACCACAGAGAGAAGCAACTCCCTATCTTGATATAAATTAAAACTGAATCTGAAAAACAAAAAGAAATAAATGTATAGCAGGAAAATCTGTAAACCAGCTTTCACTGAATGAACAACCTGCTGTTTCTCAGTCAAAGTTAATTGACACTGTGTAAAGGTATGTTGTAATCTAGAAAGCAAAACAAAACAAAAACCCTCATGAACAGAGTAAGAATAGAGTCACATACTCACCAACTGACATGAGAACTGGTGGTAAGCAGAGGTTTTCCAGAGAAGATTTTTAAAACTAACATGTTAATCTGGAAAGTCAGATACACAATGGCTTTTGGAGAAATGTTCTGAAAACTGGGCATCCTCCAGCTTCACTGAATTTCAGTTGCATTAGTTGGTAGGAAAAATAAGATGTAACTTTTCACAACTGAGAGTATTAAACTTAAGAAGCAGTGACAACTCACTTTCACTATAAATAGAAGATTTTGGTGAAAAAGCTAAATCATTCAAGAGTAAGGAACAGAGGTAACCTCAGAAGGTTTTTGTTTGTGTGAAGAGAGACAAGATGACATACTGAACCTTTATTCATTTAACACGTTTTATTTTTTAAATTTATCTGGTTATCACGGAATTCTTTCCCATTTTTGAGTGGCATTTTGATTCACTTAAAAAGATAACGTTTTGTGCTCAGTGAGGCAACTTCAAATCCCAGACCAAAAGCCTTCTCCTTACCAATAAACTGAGAACTCTATGTAAAAATGAAGTGCCATTATGACTGCTCCCTCAGCGGCGGCTGCTCCGTCCTCCACCTTGTGAAGACTCCTTTTCCCCCAAGATTAATGAAAACTACACAATCACTATGTAGACATTTTTAAAGAATCTGTATGTTCCTATGATTAATCTATACTTCCTACCAATTCTTTCTATATTCCTAAAGTAAACATAATTTTTAAGAAGGTAATGACTTCGCCAACATGATCCAAAATAAAGCACACTTCAAAATTTGTTTCAAGTCAGGAAATCAACAAGTAGTGCAGGCCAGTTACTAAAAAAGACTTCCTTTACACATTGCTTTCATGGACCTGCTCATTACTTTTTGTAACTGCACTGACTAAATGGAAGGGTTAGGATGCACAGAGGTGGAGACTCCCATGGCAACGGATGTTGTGGAATCATCACTGAAAACCTTCTCTCTTTTTTAACGAGAGTCTTCTAGTGTTATTAAGTTCTGACCTATCATAAAAAGATTTTGCCTCATTTCCTTATGCAAAAGGACAGGAAAGAAATACCTTCAGGCTGAACCACACTTTCTACCTCAGCTAACAAGAAAATATAACTTCTTTTCCATTCTTACTCTTATACTATCATTTAAACAACTAGTTATAGATTATAGTTGTTTTGACTCTTTTATTCAAGAAACAATGCCAATAACAATTCCTTTTTTTTTTGGATGGCTAAACATATCCATGTTGTGTTCTGTTTGTTCCAGGAGGCATCGATTCAATGTTACTTTTAGACTTTTTAAAACTAGAATCCATGGATTGCTGGGAAATCTATAAGTTTCTGAAATTATATGCCAAATTTCCTATGTATATTCCCATTGGGATTTTTCTGGCAGCAAATCATTCTGTTTTGCTACCTAGCATCCATGTGCCCTCTTTCAGTCACTGGTACCCACCATTTACCTCTGTGATTCTATCCTTAGTCCATGGAAAATTACAAAGCTGACTCCATCCCTGCTCCAACAGGGGTGTATTTGGGTGAGCCTGTGATCTAATCAAATCCAATTAATGTGAAAAGACTTTGGATAGGGCCTCTGGGAAAATACTCTTTTTCCTGTTAGACCTGAAGCCTAAGAGGATGTTACAGTTGAAGAAATGTTACTGCCACCATCTTGCTCCCAAATGAAGCCACAGACTGAAGCTTTACTAGTGGAAGCTGAGAGATGAAGGGAAATTGATTCTTGATCACATTATTTTAACCCACAATGTAGCTCTTTGCCTTGCCTTTCCATATTTTAATAAGCAAATAATTCACTCCCATGTGCATTCCTGGCATCTTACTCCACAGTTCTGCATAGCTGACTCCTTCAGCTTAACTGGTACAGGCTTTCCTATCTGATATGAGACCTCTTTACTCTTTACTTATGTCCAGCCTAGTCCATCCCACCTGTCGTTAATCTCATTACCTATTGTCAAAATCATACTCCATGTGCTGTTTCTTAATTTAGTACACAGAAATCTGGTCATTTTCCCAATCCTTTTCAGTCAAAGTTTATACAATGCAGAATTATTGTCCTGTTGAGGGAGTAAGGAAGGAAGGAAGAAAGGAGAAAAGGAGGAAGGGAGGGAGTGGACCAGGTGTTAAAAACTGAAGATTCAAATAGAAAGTCATGTGGTAAGTTTCATCAATGGTCAAACAAATTGGTATTCTGGTTAGACTCAGAGAATCCATTACAGTTAAGCAAATATCTTTACCATGGACTAGGAGGAAAAGATTTTTATGCATTTTTATCTTGATTACAACCAGCCTTAGCTGACATAATTATGAAGCCCTTAAAAGTAACTGTTGAGGTTTAGAAGCACTTGCCACTTCCTTTGAACTAGCTCTATAAATGACAAGAGTGAGTATTTAGATTAAATGAATAGATTAATAAACATCTTTGGAATATCCATCATAAAGGTTGATTTATGTTCTATTGCCAGCAGTAATTCAAGGAAATGCCAAGCTATTCAAAAAATATTGCATGTTTTTCTCACCACTTTGCCAATGTTATCACACCATGTAAGTCTCACAATATCTATATTCTTTTGCCATACTAACTATGCATAAAAAGCCGATAGATATTAAACCACTTTAAGTTTACATGGGCATCAGCACAGCAACCACTTATATTTATAACTCTGATGAATGGCCTTTCATTTGCAAATTTATAGTGTATCCATAATTTCTTTAGGGAACCAAGAGGTTCATTCAAAAATTGCCACAACATATATCTATGCAAAGATGATGGAAATGGTTTAGAAAATTAAATGCTTTAAAAAATTAAAATCATATTGCCAAGAAAAAGGACATGTTCTTTCCTGGTTTGCTCACATGTTTAAATTGATCAGAACTGCACTTTCGGCAGTTATACTAGATAATGTAGATAGCATATTAATATAGTTATTAAATGTGTTCAAAAAAATTGTTGGTAGGGTTGTACAGCATCAGTGTGGACTACTAGACATCAAGTTCATTTAAATCTAATATTTTATTTTCTAACTTTATTCCTCTATATTAAGCTATAAATATATAAAGAATCTTAAGATACAATTTTCCTTACATTTACTGCATTTACTGTATTTAATTCTTCAGGACTACTCCCAGAATACCGTATGGTTTATTGCAAGCATAGACTATTATAAACTATAATTTAAACAAAATTACTCAAATAAAATACATATTAGCACAGAGTCAAACTAAACAAGGAGTCCTACTTATCCCAGTACACACTTTGCTCAATTGGAGAAGCTGGTGAAGTAGAAGATGAAGGATAACAATTACTACTAAAGTAACCAATAAAAATCAGAATAGTCACTGTTATTAAGTGTGAAGAACTGTACTTTGTTGCTATCCGTGATGTGTTCTGGCATTTCTATTCTCCCTTCACTTGTGGTCATTTACCACTTTAAATGAGAAATATACACAAATCTCAGAGCTTTGGGTTTTTTTAGTTTTTTTGTGTTTTTTTCCTAGAGTAGTCTTACTTTTTTTAAATCTACCCTATTATTACAGAATTATCAGAAGACTGAAAGTGGGTTTAATTACTTGATTTGGTTATATGAACAACAATCCCCAAGTTGTCAACTCTTTAGCATAAACTCATCTAGTGGAGGAAAAAAATTGTCCCAAAGCTTGCAAAATTTGTAGACAAAACATTGGGCTGGCCAAAAAATTTGTTTAGTTTTTTCCATAAAATAAAAGACACATTTTTTTATTTTTACCAATAACTTAATTTGGATATTTGGGATATGTTGGTTATCTCCTGTGTGGCATGACATTGATTGTTCTCAATTAATGTCTCAATTTGATCGCCATCAACTTCAACTAGTCTACCTGACTGTGGAGCATCATCCAGAGAGAAATCTCCAGCATGAAACTTTGCAAATCACTTTTTGACACACTTAGTCACAGCACCTTCTCCATACACTGCACACATCTTTTTGTGTGTGTGTTTCAGCTGCACTTCTATCTTTTTTTGAAATGATAAAGCGTAATATGCCAAAAATGTTTTCTTCCAACTTCAATATTATAGTAGTGATTGCTGGGGGGAGAGGGGTATAAGGGAACTAAATGGTAATGGAAACAATATCTTAAAGATGATACATTTAAAAATTCACCAAGTTTGATAAGTTTTTGTAAATGCACATTGATAAGACAGCGGTCACAATATAAGCTAACAAAGTTGCTTTGAATGAAGTTAAAGACAACTAAGCACCACTAGAAGCATCTTACAGGAAAAAAAAACAAATGAACTTTCTGGCCAGCCCAATATTTTTTACATATTGAATTCTCTCTTTTGCTTAAAATAAATTAATATTAAAATAATGAAACGAACAGTTTACATACCCCAGTAGATTGCTAGCTCCTTGTGGGCAGGAACATATTTATCATCATCTTTGGGTCACCACTGGCCAGCACAGCACCTGGGATAAAATATACATCCAATAAATGTGTTTGAATTAATTAGATGAATGCAGTGGGTTTTGGAATCCATTTGGAGGGTATAAACTCAATGAAATAACCATTCCATATATCAACACTCTCTCTATATATCCTACATTGTTGAAATAGCAGTGTACATTCTTATACATTTGAATGACAATTTTAGACTGAAAACTCGATTCTCAAGAATAACTGCTTCTAAGTGCTTATTACATTGTATATTCTTATTGTCTTGGTTTGGTTGGGAGGAATGCAGTGAAGTATTTGAGATTAAGCCCTGGCTGGTATAGCTCAGTGGATTGAGCACGGGCCTGCAAACCAAATAACCGCAGTTCGATTCCCAGTCAGGGCACATGCCTGGGTTGCAGGCCAGTTCCCAGCAGGGGATGCTCGAGAGCCAACCATACAATGATGTTTCTCTCCCTCTCTCCTTCCCTTCCCCTGTAAAAAATAAACAAATAAATAAAATCTTAAAAAGAAAAGAACTTTGGAATTAGTCTGACACAGGTCCAAATCCCCCTTTCACCATTTACTACTTGCAGGTCACTTAATCGCCTTAAATTTCATCTTGTCTTTAAAGTAAAGATGATTATAGGATGTTTCTAGTAATGTTCAAAGGATTCTAGGAAACAGGGCATAGCACACTGCCTGACACACAGTACACCCTCAATAAGTAACTACAATGTGCACTGCCTCCCGTCTTCCCAGTGGAGAGTGAACCTTAACCAAGGAGAGGGCTTGCTTTTTTTGCATTCAGCTGCCTGGAGGTGATCTCTATGATCTCTAGGCCTCCCAAACGTCATTCCTGATAGGAGTGTCTTTGTTTGCCTGAAAGCTGTGGTCAGGGGATAGTCTACAGTGTGATTGATGATGGAGGCATGGGGCTTTGGGCCATGCACATCAATTTTGCCTCCAGAAGGAGCTAGAGATCAGTCCAACACTGACATCGACGAGGGGCTGGAGACTAAAGGTCAGCAATGTGGGTAGTATATGATCAAGTCCCATTAAAAATCCTGGACACCAAAGGCTTAGTTGAGCTTTCCCGGTTGGCAATGCTTCATGTGTATTGTCACACATCAATGCTGGTAAAATTACATGTCCTGACTCCCCAGGGGCAGGACAATGAAAGCTGCTGTTGATTGCTCTTGAGCTTCAGGCTCAGCCTTATACACTTCTTCCCTTGGCTGGTTTTAATCTGTTCCTTTCCCTGTAATAAACTTTGACTATGAGTATAACAGCTTTCATTGAGTTCTGTGAGTACTTCAAGCAAACTGTCAAACCTGAGAGTGGTTTTGGAAACCCCTCAAACTAGCAATTAGTGTTAGAATTGAGGGTGGTCTTGTGTGGAGAACTGGCTCCCTCGAACTTTGTAATTTAAGTACTAGGTTGGCCAAAAAGTCCGTTTAGTTTTTTCTGTAAAATAAAAGACACATTTTTCATTTTCACCAATATCTTGATTGATTAGGATATTTTTAGTCTGTGAGCTGTCTTCTGGTATTGGCTTCTGGTGGGTAGAGGCCAGGGGTGCTGCTATACATGTTCTGATGCATAAGAACGCCCTGCAGCAAAGGATTATTTGGCTAAAATGTCAATAATACCAAGAAACTTCACAAACCACTTTTGATACTTTCAATCAGTCACAGCACCCTCCCCACACACTGCACAAATCTTTTCTTATGTGTGTTTCAGTTACGTTTTTACCTTGCTTGAAATAATAAAGCATAAGACACTGAAAATGTGCATTTCCTTTCATCTCCAGTATTAAAATGGCTATTCAAAAATTCACCAATTTTGATAAGTTTTTTTAATGCACACTGATATGAAAGCTGTCACAATACAATCTAACAAAATTGCTTCAGATGAAGTTAAAGACAACTAAGAGCTACTAGAGCCGTCATACAGAAAAAACTAAAACTTTTTGGCCAACCCATTAACTTTACAGTTGGTGAAACTCTCACACCTTCCTTCTTTAAATCTATAGAGCTCAAAAGCTAAGAAAGATATCTTACTTTAGTAGTCAAGAGACCTTAACAACGCTTTCATGTTAAAAATCACTTTGAAGTGATGGTGTTTATGTGTAGGTTGCATGTCATCATTTTATTTTTCCCTGCACAAACAATAAGAACCACTCCCTCATAATAAATATAGAAATGTTTTGTTTTGGGCAAAGTAAAGAGTCATGTACAAGCAAACTTTTTAAAGGTAGGTTACAGCAGGTCTGTCAAGGTCAGATGTTAGAAAATTAACTTCATTAACAGATATACTGCTTTTCAATCAAAGTATTGATTTAATCTATGCAGGGTTTCTTTTTTGCCCCCACCATTCAAAAGTAGAATGTTCTTATGAAACTTTTCATAAGCTGAAACAGTGTAAAGTACCTGTTTTGCTAACTGAAAGAAATCCAAAGAAGATTTTTACTTTTACAAACCATTACTCTACTAATATAAGTCTTTCGTAAAAGCAAAGTGGCATAACCCAAACTTTAAGAAAGCGGGGGAGATACATGAGCTTCGCCTAATTGCTTAGAGTGCAGTATGCAAAAGACTGCTGATAGCTTGAAAAAAATAATTTTTACAAATAATGATTTGGTAGGTAGACTTTTCAGATGGCTTTCAAAATACCCCCTATTGGTAAACATATTCTCATAATGCCCAGACTTGTGAATATGATGGGTTTTCCCCCATGACAGGGTATGTTATATATCATAGTTGATTTTAAAACAGAAAGATTGCCTGGGTGAATCTAAAGAAATCACATATACCTTTAAATCTTGGTCTAGAGATGACAGACAGAAAAAGACTGAGATTTCAGGCATTAGAAGTATCTGACACACCACTGCTGGCTTTAGGATAGAGGGAGCCACATGGTAAGGAATATACAGAGCCTCCTGGAAGTGTAGGCAACCCCCAGCTGACAACCAGCAAGGAAACCAAGACCTCAGTCTTACAACCACAAAGAGCTGAATGTCACCAAGGATAAATTTGTAAGTGGATTTTTCCCAAAGCCTAAAGCTCAACTTGGCCAACCTTGATTTCAGCCTTGTGATTCCCTGAGCAAAGAATCCAGCCAAACCACGATGGACATGCACAAACTTTGAGCTAATAATTGGCCATTGTTTTAAGCCACTGAGGTTCTGACAATTTTATACGTACCAATACAGAACTTATACAGACAGGAACTAAGGATTCTGCACGTATTTTATTGACCTCTCTTCAGTCTTTCACTCTAAAAACAAGTTTCATTTACTTACATGCTAGGTTTCATTAACCAAATAGACTTCAGATTACCAGTGCCAGAACTGAAAATGCACAGACCATCTCTGAATGAAGAATACCAAAAGAATGGTACTGTGCTATAAGCCCTATGTAATATACTGAATATTTGTGTCTGCCCAAAATTTGTATATTGAAACCTAATGTCCAATGAGATAGTATTAGGAGGCAGGACATGTGGGAGGTGCTTAATTCACGGGGATGGAGCCTTCGGGAATGGGATTAGTGCACTTGTAAAAGAGACCCCACAGAGATCCCTGGCCCCTTCTCCCACGTAGGGTTACAGCATAACAACGGCCATCTAGGAGTAGGTTCTCATCCATCACCGAATGTGCTGGTGCCATGAATGCAGGCTTCCTAGCCTCTAGAACTGTGAAAAGTAATTTCTGTTTTTTATAAACCACCCAGTTTATGGTATTTTGTTATAGCAACCCTTATGTAGTAAGACATGAACGTGTTTATCACTTATGCAACAGATCATTTGGAAAACTCAACTCTATGTCCTATATAGAAGATGTTGAATGATAACTCTTAAATATGCTATAAATTATCTCCAAGTTTTCATGGACCTTTTTAACATGGGGAGTTGTGCCTTCTTGAGGCACATGTGGGAAACTATCATATGTTCAATGCAGAGTACAGAATTCTGGAGTAAGATTAGGGGTCACGTGAAAGGAATCTCTTCCAGGTGTCTTCCTAGACTGTGCTACCACATTTGCTCCCTGTTTCATTCCCTTTATTCATCTACTACAATGTTGCCATATTATCTTTTTTGAAACACAAATCTTATCATGTTGTACTCCTACTCAAAATGATAAATTTTGATGACCTTCAAGATAAAATCACTCATTCACTGATGCAATAAATAATTAAGTGAGTACAGTATGCTAAGTTCTGTGCTAGGTGATAAGGATACAATGGCAATTATGACAGACAAGGTCCTGCTTTTCACTGAAATGTTCTCTTTGAAAAATATACTTTTCATCTTGTTCATCTTGTTCTTCATCAGAAGACTCTGATTATCTTTAATCCCTAACTGGGGCTTCACTCCTCCGGGAATCTCCCTTTGACCCTCTGAAGCAAAACAAGACACCCTTTCTCTGTGTTTGTATAAAATACTGTACCTAACCATGTAATAAAATGTATCACATTGTATTGCATGAGATTACAGGTCTGCATCTTCCATAAGCAGAATATAATGGAGAGGAAAATTCAGGAAGTGTGCACACCCCAAAATTCTTATAGTAAATAAGAAGTTATGAATGAGTAGTTTCTCTTGGGAGAAGCTGAACCTGGACCTAACCCCTGCTGTAGGGTTGGATATACAGGACAGATCCAGAATGAATGGGGAGTATTCCAAGTTAAGAGTAGGAGCTAGGCTAGGAGGAAAGGAATGAGAGCCCATGAAATAAGTGCCTCTGCTACCCACACGCCTTGAGGTGTGCTGTGATGATAGTTTCTCCTTACCTTCACACCTTCTGTTTCAACTCTGAGTCCTGAATGTCTGGACCCGAGTAGACACTCCAGTATTTGACCTGGAGGTCAGCTACTATCCAGAACAAAGGGGCCATTAATGAGCTTACTTAGTAAGAAAATAAACTTGAATGATGGATTTTGAAAGTAAAATGCAGATTAAACATGTCCAAAACATTCACCATGAAAAAGCAAAAGCAAAAAGTGAATCATAAACAGAGCCAGGATGATGACTC